GATCCGTGTCGTGACAGAGCCTTACTTCATGTACGAGCGAGCGTGTGCACGCCGAGTGTGTGTGTGACTGTGTGTGGTGTGTGTGTGTGTGTGTGTGCGTGGCAGTTGTGTGTGTCGTGGTGTGTGTGTGTGGTGTGTGTGTGTGTGTGTTGGGTTGTGTGTCGTGTATGTGTTTGGGCCTTGTGTGTGTGTGTGTGTGTGTGTGTTGTGTGTGTGTTGCGTGTGGTGTGCACAGGGCGGGCTGTGTGTGTGTGCTGTGTGTGTGTGTGTTGGTGTGGCACCCTGTGGCAGGTGACGCTAGGGCTGTGTATGGGCTTGTGTGGTGTGTGGTGTGTGGGTGTTGTGCGTGTGTGTGTGCGTGTGGCCCTGGTGTGTGTGTGTGGTGTGTGTGTGTGTGTGCGTCGTGTGGATCGTCGGTTCTGTGCTGTGTGTGTGTTGTGTGTGTCTGTGTTGTGTGTGTGTGTGTTGTGGGTTTGTGTTGGGTGTGTTGCCGTGTGTTTCGTGTGTTGTGTGGTGTGTCGATGCTGTGTCGTTGGCGGTCTGTGTGTGTGTGTGTGTGTGTGTGTGTGTGTGTGTGTGTGTGTGTGTTGTGTGTGTGTGTGTGTGCGTGTGTGTGTGTGTGTGTGTGTGTGTGTGTGTGTGTGTGTGTGTGTGCGTGTGCGCGTGCGCGTGTACGTGGTGTGCGGGTGGGTGTGCGTGTGCTCGTGTGCTTGCTGAAGAGAGTGAGTGCGCGCGCGCGTGTGTATGGCTGTTACGTAGTTCCTAAAACTACACCTAAACCTTCAAATCCCTATAGGCAGCAAATGCAACCGATAAACAAAGAAATCATCATCTCCGGAAGGAAATAAAACGTCATCGTTACCTGTCAGGAATCCTCCCACGGCGAACACGAGGGAGAGCCCCAAGTAGATCATGCCCATCGCTGTAGCTAGCTTCTTAACTCCAGCAATATCGCTAGCGATCGTATAGAGCAGGGGCATGCATCCACTCAGCAGCACCCCCATGATGGCCGCCCACGCCACCAAGTACGCAGCTTCGTGGAACAGCCGCAAGGTGGCGAGCAGTAGAGTCAAGACACCGCCGCAGCCGACGAGAAGAGCGAAGCCGAACTGTCGCGCGCGCGGGTGTCGCAGGCGTCCGTACGTCCAGAAAAGTCCCCACAGCAGACGGAAAACGACCTCGGTGATGCTAAGCACCGAAAGGAGCACGGCGCCGTTAACGTGCAGCTGGAGACGCGGCGGGGGGACAAACTCGCCCACCTGCACGAGTTCGTCGAGCCGCAGCGGTAGCAGGTTGAAGATGGTCGCGTAGTTAAGCCGAAATAGCATGACGACGAGCAAGTAGAGAATGAAGCGAGGATCCCTCAGCAGACTCGTGTGGAACTTCGACTTCTGTCGCACCAGCCGGCGGCCCGTGATCGATTCGATACTCACCGTGCTCAGCTTCCGAGACTTGATCAGAATGTTGTCGGGCGTATCAAACATGGCGGCGAACAGCTCGTAGCGATCACGCGGGAACGTCTCCGAGTCCGAATCGTCGTCGGACGCATCGTCGGATTTCTTCGGCGGACGTACGGATTTGAACGCCCAGCCGCACACGCAGATATTCAACGTGATGGCGCCGTAGATGAGAAGTGTTCCACGGTAGCCGTACTCGCTGATCATGCTCAGAGTTAGCGGCGGCATGACGGAGCTGGACACCCCGCTGCCCAGCGACACGAGCGCGTAGGCTAGCGTCAGCTTCTTCTTGAAATACTGACTCACGATACTCGATCCGGGAACCATGGAGAACGCTGCGCCGACGCCTGTAGATAGCGTGATAGCAAATCAGGGTGTTAGAAAGAGAGAGAGAGCGTGCGAAGAAGCGTAGAAAACCGGGCGTTAGGGAAGCGATAGATACAATAATGTAACCCAGCAAGAGGAGGGTTCCCTTACATTATTGTGTCCAAGGGAGCGATAGATACAATAATGTAACTCAACATGAGTATGGTACACGTAATGTTACTCTACTCTTGTTGGGTTACATTATTGTATCTGGGGAAGCGATGGATACAATAATGTATCCCATCAAGATTAGTACAAGTAATGTAACCCTATACTCTTGTTGACATTATTGTATCTAGGAGCAAGAGTTGGGTTCCCTACTCTTGTTAGGTTACCTCATTGTATCTAGGAGCAAGAGTAGGGTTCCCTACTTTTGTTGGGTTACATTATTGTATCTAGGAGCAAGAGTAGGGTTCCCTACTTTTGTTGGGTTACATTATTGTATCTAGGAGCAAGAGTAGGGTTCCCTACTCTTGTTGGGTGACATTATTGTATCTAGGAGCAAGAGTAGGGTTCCCTACTCTTGTTGGGTTACATTATTGTATCTAGAGGGGTGGGGCGAGTGCAGGAGAGTGTGCAGCTCATTTGAATGCCAGGGAGGCCCCGCATACTCGATCACTCGATCGCAGAACATAATAATTATATCGCAGGAATTTGTGAGGCGTGTTATGGGCTGCGCGCCGATGCTCTCAGGGAGAAGCGATATAATTATATATCAGAAGTAGATAATAGGGGAATTTCTACTTCTGATATATATAGATTCTGATATATATATATATATATAACACGTATTTTCGTGCGACTATACACGCTAGCACATTACCTACTTTTATACACGCAGCGATATATGTAACATACAAACGCACGAAATCAAACAAAAACTCAAATAAAACACGTGAAATTCAATAATTAAATTGAGTAATTAAACAATTACCGAACAGCACGCCGAACGTTACGAAGAGCACGCCGACGTGCACGGCGAAATAGCTGAGAGCGAGTCCAGCACCGGCTAGCAAGCCGCCCGTTATCGCTAGCTTCCTGAAGCCAAACACATTGCAGCCGACTGCTGCGACGGGGCCTGAAAATCAACATGTATAAATAAATAAATAAATATAAAATAAATAAATAAATATATAAATATATATATATATAGAAACAATATATATATAGAAGTAACATCTTTATAGTTAGACTTAAACACCTTTTACCTATTATTTGAATTTATTATATATATTATATATATATATATATATATATATATATATATATATATATATATATATATATCAAAATGTGTTGTTTTGAACATGAATGTGTGTAAGATAAATTTCTTATATCGAAAAGCGCAGTGCATCGTGGGATTTTTGTGCAAGAAAAGGATGAACAGATCCATGCCTGTTATGTCACATGGTAACCGGCTGTCGGCAATATTACACTGTGATGTTCGTGCGTGCGTGCGTGCGTGCGTGAGTGGGTGAGTGGGTGAGTGAGTGAGTGAGCGCGTGAGTGAGTGAGTGCTTGCGTGCGTGCGTGCGTGCGTGGGTGCGTGCGTGCGTGCGTGCGTGAGCGAGTGAGTGAGTGAGTGAGCGAGTGCGTGCGTTTACTTGTACACTCACCTAAACCGAAGGCTAGGGTGCACGCTAGACCCAACACCAGCTGAGCGACGGCATAACTCGTGTTGAGTTTGTCCTCGATTTCTATAAGAATCAGACCGAACGACTTTATCTGTCCGATGATGAGTCCTTGCACACAGGCCGAAGCAACAATAACGACCCAGCCCCATCCTCCGTCGGGCGCTTCGAAGTCATCCATCGTAAATTATTTAGTTGGTCCGTTGATTGGCGCAGTTGCCACCGATATGCGAGATGCAGAAACGTATCCCATGAGAGGGAGGCTGGAGGATGGTCCACGACTTGCAACGCGCGCAACAAGCAACATGTGGTCGTTCGATAGTATAGTCAGTCATACGCAGACGAAATCTGTTTTTGATCTGCGATGCAACGCCGGCTTGTATGCTGCGCCCTCGTGGTGTGTGTAGCGTCTACGGCCACGTGTTGACACTGACGCATAACCTTCATTGTCTGAAAATAAATTGAAGAAAATCCCGTGACGGCGAGTGATTCATTTGATGGGGAAAAACCCCCGTACCGAAACTCCGTATTCCGACGTTGTTTTCGATCGCGGTGGCGATTCTCATAGAACGCGATATGGGTGTAACTGATCCGTGCACCGTAAGAGCGGGATTAATTTATAACCGATATATATATATCAAGAGTACATAATGGGATATATATATATATATGGGCTATAGTAGGTACAGCTCGCCATACACTATAAACAACAGGTGCGATCTATTTGCTTTTGTAAAGGAAAGTCGAGATCTCGCATATTCTAACTAGGCAAAAATATTTCGCCTACCGCGCGCACCAGAGTACGCAAAACTACATAGACAACTAGCTGTACAGAGTATACATATATATATACGATACGATATACGTATATATATATGTATACTCTGTACAGCTAGTTGTAAGCAAATAGATCGCACCTGTTGTTTATAGTGTATGGCGAGCTGTACCTACTATAGCACTATATAGCTCCTACCGTTACCATCGCATCCGCTACACTGAACATGCAATGCATCTACATGTCATTCAGGTGTGTTAGTTCGCTACGTGCGTGGGTAACGAGAACGATTTGTCATTCGCAGACACGTATTCGCACAGACATACCTCGCGCGCGCACGCACGGACGCACGCAAGAAACGCACAGACACAAACACACGTGAGAGTATGACATGCAGGAAGTTTCCTTCACACGTCAACCGCGCGCAGAGTAGGAAATTACCTCATCCGGGCGCTGTATCCGGTATGCCGCAGCGAAAAAAAGATGCTCGAATTTCCACGCATTATAGACCGCATAGCGCGTGGCTACACGGTAGCCAGCCACCCGGATACATTTCGGGTGTATATTGCGTCAGATTGGCCAACAAACCGCACAGTGAACGTTCACCTATGTCGAGCACATAACTAAGTAACTTGCTGCGACGAGCATTCGACCGTTAGCATTCGACCGTTAGCATTAGACTCAGATACAACCCGGATTTCCTTCTTCTCCTACGTTAGACTCACATTCCGGCTCCAGTGCCCGCGCTCCTGCGCGAACTACAGTATACAACCAACACAGAAATTCTGCTGACAAACTATAAATTAAGCACGGTTCGCTGGCATAGCAGTGGCTCTCACACACGCACACAGGCGCAGAGGGTGTCTTACTCAAATGCGGTTTGGTATACCTCTGCCAGCCGACTCTGCATGGTGAATTGAGAACTACACTCGCAATGTTGTTGACCCTGTTAGTAGCAAGTTCACGGCTCTAAACCAGTTTGGAAGAAAGATCGCAGCTGTTATTGTGCGACGCTCAGATTATAATAAATCGACACAGCTCCACAAACCAATATGAGCATGCTCGAGACGTATGTGTAGGTTAACCCTTGGACGCAGTGGTGTCGGTATTAACCTCGTCAACAAGCCATTCCATACCTGATAGTCTACATACTCAAAGTGGCAGGGGCACGCGTACACACACACACACGCGCGCGCGCGTGCGTGCACGCACAAGCATGTACACGCGCGCGCGAGCGCAAACAAGCCGCCCATCAGCCGACGCACACTAGAGTTGTGGACTGTATGACTAAATTCCGTAAAAGACGGGTGCGTCACTCAAGCGAATAATGACAAGGAAATCCCTATCAGTAAAATCGTTTAAGAAGCAAACTTGTGAGATAAAAATGCACTGAATAGCTAATCTCATGCTATTTGTTCACATCTATTTAGCGTTGATATCACTGTTTCTCAAACTAAGAGAGGTTTTCTGCGCTGATCAAAGGGGGCTTTTATTTTCCAAGCCGACAGCCAGATATTTCAACACTGCCAGCTGTGCACAGGAGGTCAATTTCTCCGTCGATCATTGATTTTATACGTAAAAATTCAGTATGCAAATATTTGGCAGTCCTTACCCTGGAGTGTAAAGTGCGAATTTGGGGGTTTATTGAGATAGAAACTATACCAGTGAAATATACTAAAGCAATAACCTCACACACAATACGAAATTTCGCACGTGGTTCGATCCCCCCATACGAGCGCGAATATCGGCAGCATGGTATATGGCCTGTATGCAATGAACGCCGAAATTACATACGATTTCGACATTCCTGTATTATTATAAGCATGTTTGAAAACCAAAATTAAACTCGCAACCGACAAGTTTTTATTATTTCAGTTATACAAGAACTTTCCTATGTATGTATTTCCCAAGTATGTTTTCCTAGCTAACGTACGACTAGTAATATTGAAATCAGCTAATAAATAGCGATATGTGTCCGTCGAGATATATGCAATTAATGTCAAGCATTCATAAAATGAAATGAATAGTAATTTCTCGAAATTTTTCTTCTGATTGCGAAAGCATGTACCCACTAGTCATTTATCATGAAAGATATCTATTCGAATCAGACTCGACCCGCCAAACTGACATGTAGCATCGCGGATGATCCGTGTTCTCGCATGTCCAGTATTTGCGAATTAACATAGTGTTTAGTTTAGATTATGCTTCCGAGATAGAGAGCGTACATTCATAGCAGTTTGAGATATATCTTGACGTTAAGAATAAATCTCGATGTCTCTCTTATTGATTATAATGTCGAGTTCTAACACAGAAAGCCATAGAGAGGCGCTCTGGTAACACCAATACAGTCTGAATCAGCCACCAGGTGGCGATATGTGTCGGTATCGTAGCCTTCGGGTGGGTGGGGGGCAAGGGAGCTGGTTAATCACCATATAGTCATTAATAAATCCTCATTCGACACCCATGCCATCCACACAACCTGCGTTGCCTTAGGCTGATAGGGTCTATGTCCCCCAGGGTACTGCCGGAACGTACCCTGGGTACGGTCCGTCATACCGGAACGTACCCTGGTACTAAATACTACTATCTAATATGCCGGAGCGTACCTCGGCTACTCCACTAACGAGTCTAGGGAGTCGCCTACGCCTACTCCCTATTCCCTAACCCTAGCCCCAACCCTAACCCATACCCTAACTCTAACCCTAACCCTAACCCTAACATTAACCCTAACCATATCAGCTAGATAGTTACCAGGGTACGTTCCGGTATACCGGACCGTACCCAGGGTACGTTCCGGTATACCGGACCG